AGAGAAGAGATCATTGCAACGAGAGGGGAAATTAATGTTTTTTTTTTTTTTATATAAAAATAATAATGTGCATAAGACATTTATAATAAATACTGCAATGTTCCATAAAAAAGTATTGTCAATTATAATTTCATGCTAACTTTAACAAAACAACCAGACAGCAATGCAGTTGCCTAGTTTGGTTTTGGTTATATTCTCAGGGTGGGAAACACATACTTTTTTTTTTTAAATGTTCTTATCTTTGAAATTATCATAAAACATATGAAAACATAAACGGAAAAAATACTAAAAGCAAATACTATATTTAAAAAAAAATGACAAAGATATTTGGAAAAGTTACTAAATTACGAGTTCTTTGTATGTGCCCTAGGAGTCCTTGGTTTTGCAAAATTACATGAAAATATTTTACAAATGTTATTACAGTGGCTTACATTTTTTGTCTTTGGGTCAAACCAGTGACTGATGTCCTTTCCTGCACACTCTGTGATAGGTTTAGATAACACATCACCTATAAGAGAAAGAGTCTTTGTTACAATGCTCTTGATAATCAGTTAATACATGCCACATTTCAAAAGTTTGGGGACAAAATCGTTTCTTCCTTTTCATTTTTTAATGATATGGTTACTTGCCTTTTTGCCTTTACAGCAGCGGTGTCAGATCGTACACTTTGCCCAGGTACGACGCCCATATATCTTAATATGTCATAATCATATAATCATAAGCAAAACTTCATAATGACGCCACGTTCGTTGATGTATTAGTTTGTTTATATTAGCTCAGGTCCATTTAATTATATTAAGAGATACAATTTTCGTATTTAATAAAGTAAATGTTAAAACTAACATTAAATGAAATGCTTTAAAGTAACTTAATTTTCATGATAACTAATAGATCCTTATTATAAAGTGTAACCATTATTATATACTATTGTGTAACTGTGACATTTTTTACATCATATTTTTTCCACCCTTCGGATAAAAATACAAAATAATAATAAAAAAGAACCTCTAACCCTTAAATAAAAGTAATTGTGATGCTTGCCTTTACCTTCAAGTCCACCAAGTAATCCTAGAAAAAAAGACACTTGACAAAAGAGTCTTCGATACTCTTTCTTAAATACAGTATATCTTGGAGACTTTCATGAATTTGTTTAGCTTAAAACAAATGAAAAACAAGCATAAAACATTTGGAAGACCCATGTCCTTAACATCAGTAAAGGTCATTGCATTGGCATGTCAGCACAAACTAAGAAGCATACACCCAAAAAACCTGCAAACCTGTTAAATTACTTTTGTCACATTTCATAATCTTCAAATATTGCATTTTTTTTCTTTTCTTTTTTTTTTCCCAATAGCTAGTGATTTCTTAAGTTGGTTGACCTTCAACTTGAAAGTGCACAGGTAACTCCTTAAGTTTAGATAAAGCTTTGTTGTGGGACATTGACCTAGCCTTTCATCTGATTTATCATCTGCAACAGCTGTCGAATGATCATACACATTCTGTCATGTAAACTTTTAGAAAAGATTTCAGTAAAAAAAAATAAACTATTGTGCAAACTGGTATCAGATCAAAGCTGTCAGGCTATGAAGCAGTTTTAAAGCATGTTCATTTCTGGTAGTTTTATGCAGTTGGGTTAAAAAAATTAAATAAAAATGAGACAAAAGATATGAGAAAAGGTACCTCCTTTGCCAAAAAGCGTGCAATACAGTTTTATCCATTTCAAGACTGCCGGCATGTCAGCGCTGAATCTTTAAGAATGCAGATATGACATACTGGTGTCAGAAGTACATGGCACAGTCTAAAAGAAACCACAACCCTAAATTCTGGAGTGTTATTCAAAGAAAACAAACAGAAAAAAAGACAGAATGAGAACGACAAAGTGATGTTAAAGATGGCACATATGTCAAAGAAAGATCAACATTTGTGAGCCAAAATGACTCCAGTTAAGACTCCAAGTTCAACTAGACTCCATTTTTACGTATTGAAGGACAGGAAACCAAACACCAAACTAGTAGTGTTTGCCCGATCAAGTCATTTGCTCCTGGAGAAGTCCAAAACAGCCTGTGGATTCAAGTCTCAACAACAACAAAAAAACTCTCGGTTTGATAAGTTTCCTCCAAAGTTCAGTTTGGAAAAAAGCAGGTTCTCTAGCCAGGTTTCTTAGTCCAAATCATTGTCCGTTTATACTGCATCGGCCTCTCTGTTATCAGTTGTAGTGGAACTTGAAGTGAAAGTTTCCGCCCTCAAAGGGGTTGAAGCCAAAGGGCCATTCTCTGCCTCCTCCACCTCCTCCACCCTGCTGATTCTCAGGGTCCAGAGGGTCCTCGCCCGAATCAAATTTCTGACGCATTTCTGAACAGAAAACAACAAAGAAGAATGCATCGATTTGAAGATTTTTGAAAGAAGCCTCTTATTCTCACCAAAGCTGGATATACAGTATTTGACCAAAAATACAGTAAAAATATAAACATTGTGAAATATTATAATTTAAAATAACTGCTTTTTTATGCCCGTGAAAGCAAAGCTGAATTTTCAGTATCATTACTACAGTCTTCAGTGTCACATGATCCTTCAGAAGTCATTCTAATATGCTGATTTGTTGCTCATTTAATAATAATGATTCTTATTGTTATCAATTTTGAAGACCAGGGTCAGGATTCTATGATGAATTTAAAAATCAAAACAAGAAATCCCTTGTAACATTATAAATGTCTTTCCATTTGCCTTTGATCAATTTAATGCATCTTTAATGAATAAAAGTATTAATTTCTAATCTTATTTACGCCAAACTTTTGAATGGTACTCTATCATGGCTTGCACAAACATGTTAAGCAGCACAACTGGTTTCAGTACTGATGGGATTTTTTTTTACTAGAAAAATAGAATACAAAAATGTTCTTTTAAATTATAATAATATTTCACCAGCCATGGTAAGAATAAGACACTTCAGACAAAAACATTTTTAAAAAAAATACATCCAGCGATAAAATGTTACATAAAATTGACCGACGACAGAAATTTTCAATAACAGACTGATAAGGACTGAAAATCATTTGTATTCATGCTTAATTTAGTTTTTGCTGTCATCTGACATTTTCCTACCTGGATCTGTGAGCACTTCCTTTGCTGATGCGATATCGATAAACTTTTTCTCTGCCTCTTTCTTGTCTGCTTCAGACTGGAAATTATCAGGATGCCACTGCTGAGCCAGCTTTCTATACGCTTTTATGATTTCCTGTTTGTTGGCACTCCTAAAAACAAGTGAAAAGAAACAAGCATTTCAGTCAAACAATCTACATTCATTGTTACTACCGCAGGTGCCCCAGAAACAACCTTCGACCATTTCTGCATTATTAACATCATAAAACAGCACAGAAACAGTTTAGGAAGTAACGCTCTCTGCAACATTTTAAGGCAGGATTTTGCCTTACCTGCTGACCCCCAGGATCTTGTAATAGTCTCTCTTGTGAGACTGCTTGAGGAGCTTCTGTGCTCGGTCAAGACCTTCACGAATCTCCTGGTTGTCCTGATCAAACTCCCGTGCCTCCTGATAGTCTTCCACAGCTGAGAAGAGGAACAGAGGAAGAAACCTGAGTTTATGCAAACGAAATGGAAAGGGTAGAAAATTCGGTACATTTTATAGTAGTCAGTGAGAGTTGAACTACCTTTCTCATATTCCTGCAGTAAGATGTAGGCCTCCGCTCGGTCCTGGAGGATGTGGATATTCTGAGGGTCTCTCTGGTGGGCTTCTGAACAAATGTCTACGGCCTCCTTAGCACTCTTCATCTGGAGGAGCCAAAAGAGGGAGTGAGAGAAAAACAGAACCAGTGAGGCTAGACACCAGAACCAGACTCTTGATGTTCTTGTTCTTATTAACCTCTTAACGATGTGAAAGTGAACATATCATATAAATGGTGATTACTAGGACAGCTGGACTAGAAGGGGTTTCATCCCCTTAAAAAGCTGTAAAATAACTAAACTACATTTAGTAAAGGAACATACTTTGACTAAGCAGAAGCAGATCCTCTCCTTTGCTTTATTAGTGTAGAATGCCACGTTCGGCTCTGTTCGCATCACAGATTCATACTTCTCAATGGCTTCCTGATACCTGCCATTCAAGTAAACAAAAGAATTAATAAACCATTAGAACTGAAAAACCTGAAATAATCAAAATGATGTCAAATTTGACACTGATGCAGATATAAAACCCATTCAAAACCAAATCAGAAAGATTATTTTTATTCAGCAAGTACGCATTAAATTGACATTTCTATTTCAAATAAATGCTGTTCTTTTTAACCTTTCTGTTCATCAAATGAACCTTAAAAAATGTATGACAGTTTCCACAAAAATATTAAGCAGCACAACTGGTTTCAATAAAAATAAATGTTTCTTGAGCAGCAAAGCAGCATATCAGAATGATTTCTGAAGGATCACGTGACACTGAAGACTGGAGTAATGATGCTGAAAATCCAGCTTTACCA